GATACTCCCTGGTGTGGATTAACGTCCGCACGGGTGAGTACTACGACTATCCGCAGTACTATCCTGATAATTAGACCAATTCGTATATACCAAGGAAAAAAAGTGGTTCGGATTCCCCTATAAACTGTAGGTCCCTTAGTCGCCATTAGCTGTATGGGCTATTAATCAACAGTTGTGTCTAAGGAATGTCGACCTTAGTCACTAACAAGACTACAAGAGCGCGCCACTCATCATACACTCATCTCCATTCATACTTGGCTTAAAATACCTACTTTGTATGGTCGCCATTTCAAAGAAAAGTATAAAGTATACACTAAAATGTCTACTTAAAAATATAACATTTATTTCCTATTTAAATAGAATTAGTTTAACAAGTACTTAGGTTTGCTGAATCAGGGAGGGTAAAAGAGTTTTTTTTTTTTTGTAAATGTTAATATTTAGTAAGAAATAAAAACATTTTCCAAATTTGATCAAAATATGTTCATAAACAAGCAAACTACAACAGTTTACTTGTTCTCTATAAGAATAACATGGGAATTTTAAATTTACATTTTTTGGAATTTTCTCCGTAACCATTAGGCGCATAATAACGCTTCAATATACCAAATTATTTGTTTTTTAAGCTCTACAAAATGGTTTGGAAAGAAATTGCTAAATTTTATGTTTTTTTGGGTCAAAAATGGGAAAACCCTATTTTTACCCCATAAAACCCCCGTAAACCCCCGTTACCATAGTCCGATCATTCTGGTTCGCGAACTCGTTTGAATAAATGTAGGTTTAAACGTTTATACCAAATTTCATCAAAAGCGGATCATTTTTGCTCGAGTTATCGTGCTAACAGACATTTATATACATATATATATATATACATATGAATTTGAACGGATGGTGTTTTAGGCCTCTAGGGACCTCAAAACGAAAAAAAAAATTGGTCCCGCCTCCAGGTCTTACTATGAGTACTACGGTAATAGCTTATTCCCTATATGGGAAATTCGCTAAAACATGATGTGATGTTTTCTGTACACACACTGTTGTAGTTGATTTACAGTAATAGGAGGTCAAAAGTTTCCCTGTTCAGAAGAGAGGGTTTTTGGAGAACAGATGTACTGTTATGAAAACTTTACATTGTTATTTCCCATATACTGTACACAACAAACTGTACCATTATACTCTTATAACACTTTTTCTCACCTAGTTATCAATTTATGATCTCGTACCTGAGGACCGAGCTTTGGATTCAGTGTATTCTATGTTTATTTCCATTTTAAAAGCAATATGAAGGAAACTCATGTTTTAATTACAACAAATTTTGGCCTTTATAAAGCGTTTATAGCTTTTTGGCGTTAAAGCTTCAGTGGGATTTAAATTTATTATGATGGGAATTTTAACCTGGCAATTTCCTTGGTAACCTACACATTAATTTATTTTACAGTCTATGGTAAAAATCACTAGTTTATATAGCTTTAATAGGCTACCCATACTATTATATAAAAATCTAGTGGTGTCTGTCTGTATGTTTGTTACTAATAGGCGCATAAACTACTGAACTGACTGGGCTTAAATTATACAAAAATATAGCTACCATACCAAGGACCTTTATAGGGCTATTCACACTTTGATACTGACCGTGGGCTTTGCCCCTTTGGCTTAAAAAATTGTGAGGTGAGGATTTTAAAAGTAAATATTGATTGGCCTCCATGGCTGCCATGAGGACACATACAATGTTTGCTTCTCTACAATCATGTGACATGTTTATTTTATTCTTATATTTGATGGTTCATTGATTATTGATTTTACGAAATAAGTGAGATTGTGTATATGTTGCTGTATCTAACCCTAATTAATGATTTAAAATTTCGTTAATGTGAATAATTGTATTGAAAGATTTTGGTGTAAAAAGTAGTGAAATTATAAAGTTCACATTTACTTAAATCATTTTAACATTTTTGAACAATTAACATGTGTTTAGAGTAGGGCACACACCTTAAAAATTGAAACTTTTTCTCAAGGAGATAATTAGTTGTATATTTTTGCCATTTTGAGAGAAATATTGTTCACACCATTTGCCTTTTCTCAATTTTTTAAATAATAATTTAATATTACTACCCATAGATTAGTTATGATGTTTTCTAATCCAGAGGTAGCTACTACCTATCTATAGTATAACTTTTGACACTTCCTGTAGATTTCACATTCTATTCTAATAATGAATAGCTTTTTACGAGCGTTTCATGGTCATTACATGTATATTTTCAACAAAGTTCCTCTTAACTTAACCTACCCTCGACATAAAAATTGTTTGAATGACGTTAAATTTCCTAATTTTAAGCTGATATATAAATATTTCATTTTAAAAACAACAATAAAAAACTAAGTTGTATATGCACTTGCCTTTGGTGCATGAATAGTAGGAGCTATAAATAGTAGGGCTAAGTACATTTCTGTTTGTTTTAGTAGTAAGAGTGTTAATGTTTTTGTTTGTTCACATAGTATATAATGAGATATTTTTATAATCAATGCTAAGTGAGCAATGCTTTTTAGAAGCAAGATCACATGTTTCTTTTCATTCAAACCGTAATATTAACCAGATGTTGTAAATTATTGTTTGTCAATGTTTGATTTTATCATTTAAAAGTAAGTACAGTAGAACCTTGATAACAAGACTCTCATGGGGATTGTAAAATAAGACTTGTTATCAAGGTTGACTTCTTATCGAGGTTTGTTATAACATGTGATTAGGGGTTAAATAATTTTAAGGGTATTTGAAAATGAAACTTATTATCGAGGGCGACTTGTTATCGAGGGTCTTCTTATCAAGGTTCCACTGTAAAAGCTTCGAGTTTTTAGCGAATTTCCCATATAGAGAATAAGCTATTACCGTAGTACTCATGGTAAGACCTGGATGTGGGACCGATTTTTTTTTTCGTTTTGAGGTCCCTAGAGGTCAAAAACACCATCCGTTCAAATTCATATATATATATATATATATTTATATATATATGTGTGTGTGTCCGTCAGCATGATAACTCGAGCAAAAATGATCCGATTTTAATGAAATTTGGTACAAACGTGTAAACCTACGTTTATTCGAACGAGTTCGCGATCCAGCATGATCGGATCATGGGAACAGGGGTTTACGGGAGGTTTTATGGGGTAAAAATAGGTTTTTTCAATTTTTGACCCAAAAAACATAAAATTTAGCAATTTCTTTCCAAACCATTTTGTAGAGCTTAAAAAAAACAAATAATTTAGTATATTGAAGCTTTATTATGCGCCTAATGGTTACGGAGAAAATTCCAAAAAAATTGTAAATTTAAAATTCCCATGTTATTCTTATGGAGAATAAGTAGACTGTTGTAGTTTGCTTGTTTATGAACATTTTGATCAAATTTGGAAAATGTTTTTATTTCTGCGTACAGTATAAAAGTCAATGCTAAATCTAGTTCACGAAAATGGGATGTCTCCTTTAATTGCCGAATCCTAAGTCAATGGTACATATAGTTCACATAAATAATGGGATGTCTACTTACAGTATCCAAAGACAATGGTTCATAATCCTAATTGGTTATTCATGTTGTTGCAAATAATGCTCAACGGTATCAATCCGATTGTTCTTTCCTTTTGTTTTCTATTTGATAAATAGTTACAAGTTTTGTTTACCCTTTTGTTGTTATTTTCCAAATACTGTCATGGCAACCAATTAACCCATAAGGCCCACGTTAAATTTCTAAAAGTTTAAATTCGTGTAGGGAAAAGCGTTGTCTGATTTGTACCATTTTCTGATGTATACCTTCCCATGGTTAGTTACTATGTACAGTATTTACTAAATTTTGTGCTGATTACTTCAACCGTTTAGGAGGAGTATTTGTAAAACAAAAGCAGCAGTGTAGTAAAAGAGCTTCGCTCACTTTCCTCAATTATTTACAACATTTAAAGGAAATCGTCGAAGCATTTACGAGATCTTTGTGCAAGTATACATACATACCCGGATGTGCTGTACGGATATGATGAACATAGGTACAAGCAAACATTGCTCTTAAGAGTATAGGATACATAACATGATAACACACCTGTTTTCAATCATCTATTCCAAATTGTATGTGTCCAAACACTATTATACTTCATAACAAGAGTAGAAAGTGAGTCATTACATATATTTGAGACCACGGAAGTGTGACATTTATTTAGCACTTTAAATGGTGTTTTGAACGTTAATTTTCGCTAAACTACAAATACAAAGACTAATTACTTTCTTAATTTAAACAGACTTTGGATATTTCTTTATTACAGTTTGAAATTAAAAAAAAACTCATAGCATATTTTAGGTCATTCCTTCAATTTATAGTTAATATTTTTTACTTTTGTTTTTGTTGTACATTTTTGGTTGTTGAAAATTCAAACAGTTGACAAAACAATAACAAATCTTTATTTGTTTACGTCGGCAAAATCCAAAAAAGACAGTAAACATTAACTTCCCATGGTAAACATTCTTTTTCCGTAGTAAACAATGTAATAAAAAAATTTTGCAGGTGATAAATACATAGCATTGGTTCAAAGTAGTGTAGCGAAAAACTTTTTTGTGTCATACTGCAGCAAAAACAGCCGTTTCAATGCATGCATTGCGGGTCTAAAGCGTAGTAATAGAGATCGTTGGTCTAAAGTAGTATTTTTATTCTCTAGGGAGTAAAAATCATTTTTAGTCTCTAGGGAGTGAAAATCATTTTTAGTCTCTAGGGAGTGAAAATCAGCTGTTGTAAACAGTTATAAATTTATATTGTGGCAATCGTATCGACCAAAACTATTTATCGATTGATTTATTATGTAAGGTCTTAGCCTATTTGTCGATTGCTCGACATATCGATAGTATAATGTAGGCCTACTGTAACACAATCTTAATAGATGAAATTATTGAATTACTTATGAAACAGCTGCTTATTTGCATTAGCAGAATTGAAAACAACCTGGAAGTTGTTGTGTAATGTGACGTTTTGTTGTTACAGGTCAAAGGTAGCCATGAAGCCAGCCGTGTGGCGAGCTTCTGCCACGTTCATCATCATCATCTATCTCTACGTTCTGGCTGTGCAGGAGATCCTAGGAGCCGAGGTGAACATTACAATATTTTTGAAACCTTAGCTAAACCAAACCTACTGAATCTGAATCTTCTTGTATATTATACATGTTGATAAAGAAGAGTCTATATTCTGTGTATTTGTAATGCATATGAGTGTTTCAACCTATCCTTGTTACTTGTTATGTATTGCAAGCAAAGTTTTTCTAGAAAGCATTTACCATGGAGAGAGCCACCAACTTGTCTTACAAGGACATAACGTGGAGAATAACAGGATTCCATATTGCAAAGAAAACAAGTTTCCATCCTTTCTTCATCCCACAGGGCCGGTTCTAGACATTTGTCTATTGTAAGTGAAAAATACACCCGCCGCAGCAAACCTGCCGACTAAGCGAATTTACATTTGCCTGAATTGATTTTCAATTAAATATGTGTTTAATTAACATTATGTTATATGAGTACCTAGTCTTCCTGCTACAGGGAGGCTAAAAAGTGTGTTATTTAGTAAAATCTCAATAACTAGGTATAAAATAAATTAATATACCCAGTTTAATCAAAATATATCCATAAATAAGCAAACTACAACATTTGACAATATTCTCCATAAAATGATTTTTTGAACAAAAATTAAACTTTGCAAAGATCAAGATGTCTCGGGATTGTGGGACGTTCTTGATTTTGCCACGATCACGGTTAATTTGTCCTACACTGGTGTTAGTATAAGGATTTTGTCTCTGGATACATGAAAAAAATGAGTAAATAAAAATACTTAAGAACGTAAAAATGTGTGAACGTCTGCCGGACGAGTCCAAATAGATGACCCATCTACAGTCTGTCATTTTGCAGGTGGTACAGGGAACACATGTAGTGGTAGCCAGTAATCAAGACACGAGTCAACATGTAGTTTCGTCGACAATCCACCACGGCCAAGATGATTATGTCCGAACTCACCACAAGTTGGATGACAAACAAGACGAAGCTCCTCTACAGTATGTTAGAGGAACTGCCTTTGAGGCATCTGTAAGTGGAAGTCTTGATATTTGTATAAGCTTTTGGGGAGAAATGTAAATCTTTATAAATTCAAAAATTTGTTACTCATACAAATTTTTGGATGTCAACATTTTCCTTATTTTTAAAACTGGACACAAGAAATCTCTAGTAGTTTAGTCACAGAAAACAATCTATATCATGTGAAAGACTTTGAATGATACAATTTTAACAAGATGTACCACCCTAAGCGACATAGGTGTGTGTTAATCCTAAGCGAGTCCTAAGTCAACTGCAAACCAGCCATTCTCAATCCTTCTTCAGAAGTATTAGGATGGCAAAACATGTGAATGTTGTATGGTTGTATGTAGCAATTATTAATTTACACTCAACGGTTCTGACACTTAAAACTTGTTGCAACCACTCATTTTTAATCAGAAAATTTCAACACATTTTATTAACTTTGCACAAAAAAACTTAAGTTTTTTCCTCTATAATGCCTAACCACTGATAATTCAATGTTTTCATCAATTCTAGGTGGATGATCCTGATGTACCAGCCACGAGGGCTGTTGGAAGTTCAGGTTATCGTCCTGGCTACAGCGTTGACCCAAGCTATCAGAACCAGAACATCCACTATAGGTACTTTTGTAAAAACTTACCTTTACATAATATACATTAGCAGTTTGAAAAATCTATATTTCTTAATCTCTTAATAGTCTAGTAAATAGAGACAAAAATGGGGGGGGTGGGGGGTTAACTTACAAACGGTCTGGTAGTTCTGTTCTAATTTTTTTATGATTTAATTGTCTAGTATGGTAATTAGGTGTTTAAATGCAAAATACACAATTTTTCCCCCTCTGTGCCCGCCGCCATATTGGAAAAATCTGAAAAAAATCACACACACAAATACCCCCGCCGCAGCAAACCTGCAGACTAAGCGAATTTCCATTTGACTGATTGGATTTACACTGAATTATCTACTTAAAAATATAACATTTATTCTTGATTTAAATAGAATTAGTTTAACAAGTACTTAGGTTTGCTGCATCAGGGAGGGTAACACTTTTTTTTTGTAAAATGTGAATAGGTAGTGAGAAATAAAAACATTTTCCGAATTTGATCAAAATATGTTCACAAACAAGCAAACTACAACAGTTTACTTATTCTCCATAAGAATAACATGGGAATTTTAAATTTACAATTTTTTGGAATTTTCTCCGTAACTATTAGGCGCATAATAACGCTTCAATATACTAAATTATTTGTTTTTTTAAGCTCTACAAAATGGTTTGTAAAGAAATTGCTAAATTTTATGTTTTTGGGTCAAAAATAGGAAAAACCTATTTTTACCCCATAAAAACCCCCGTAAACCCCCGTTCCCATGGTCCGATCATGCTGGATCGCGAACTCGTTCGAATAAACGTACGTTTACACGTTTGTACCAAATTTCATCCAAATCGGATCATTTTTGCTCGAGTTATCGTGCTGACGGACACATATATATATATCTATAAATATATATATATATATATGAATTTGAACGGATGGTGTTTTTGGCCTCTAGGGACCTCAAAACGAAAAAAAAAATCGGTCCCGTGTCCAGGTCTTACCATGAGTACTACGGTAATAGCTTATTCCCTATATGGGAAATTTGCTAAAATGCAGTTTTGGTGCGCTTTAATGGAAAAGAAGACATAATCAATGTTGTAGACAATTAAAATTCCTATAATTACGTTTAATATTTTGTTTCTACAATTTATGGCTAAGAAAATATTCAAAAAAGGGGTAGAACAAATTTTTCAGAAATTTGCCAAAATTCTAACCTTAGATTCCTATAATTCAGCAATGGCCTATTCTAGGAAAACAAGTTGCACAATCAAATTTGTAGAGAATTTAATTACCTACAAAATGCATATATTTTTCTTTGCAAACTGTTTGAAGTGAGGCTTAAGAAATAAATAATATATAAATAAAAAAACTTTTTTAAAACAAAACGTTTTTAAACCCACTAAAAAGTAGAAAATAATTTATAAATATGTTAAGAGTATAAATACTTGTAAGATTTAAAACGAAAAACGTGGGGTGCATGCAATAGATAATTTACAATTACCTTCACCTATTAAACTAATGTATTATTATCAATTAATTGCATGCACCCAACGTTTTTCATTTTAAATCTTACAAGTATTTATACTCTTAACATATTTATAAATTATTTTCTACTTTTTAGTGCGTTTAAAAACGTTTTGTTTTTAAAAAGTTTTTTATTTATATATTATTTTCAACTTTTTAGTCTTTAATGTGTAAATATGTTAAATATATTTTTTATGGCCTGTTAATATTTTGACTATTAATACAACAAACCAAACCCTTATTATCTCTAATCAGATGTTTTATCTTTACTCTAAAATGCTTGTTTTATATTTTTAGAATATATCTGGAGCAGAACCTGTACGGAAATCCCGTGGGAAATATGAAAATTAAATGATATAATATTGCATTGTCATCCATTTGTGAGCTATGTTTCAAATTTCAAGTCTCTAGCTCATCGAGATCTTCGTTTAAGATTGATATCAAAATTTGTAGGAAAGCGACTAGCGAGCTAATAAAAACAAGCCCATGGGGCGTAGGCATAGCCCAATTAAAGGTCCTTAATTAAAGGTATGCACTCACAGATTTGCCATCATCACCATCATTCATTTATCTACTGTATTTCTCGACCAAAAAAAAATTAATTTGATTTTTTCCAGAATCCTTACTTTAATCAAAGATGTATTTCACCAGTTCTAACTACATTATCCTATGTTTTGGTTTAAGAACCGTCAGTGAAATGCCAGCTTTCATTTTAGCTGTTGATTATTAAGATCGGACGTATTATTCAGCACGCTGCTGAATCACAAACAACCCAAACTTTTCCAAAAATGGAGTTATTTATCTTCAATTGTACAACAGTAACCGTCAATTTTGACGGGTTTCACATAGTTTGATCTTATTTTGTTTAACTAAATGAATTTTTTTTTAATGTACAGGGTGGGGCAATGAAAGCGCCTCAATTTGTAAGCAGTACAAACTCGATAATATTCACGCTATGGATATAAATAGCACATCAAAACACAGCTTATCTTTTGCCATTTTAACTTAACAAAGTCATTTTTCCATTTCTTGAGAACAAAATCCTGCAAGTGACGTCCTTGTCCTACTTGACATTAGGCACTAAAAAACTCCATCAAATACTCCTCCAGCATTTCTTCAGGAATCACTTTAGTTTTTGGACAATTCTTAGCTTCGGTTCAAGCAAATCTGTGGGAGTGGGGTGACTTTGAAAAACCTTGAACTTCAAGTAACTTATTAGAAACCCCCCCTTCCAAAAAAAAGGAGCCAACGTAAAGCTTTCAACAACAACAGCTTCCTGGCAAATCTCTTTGGACTTTGAGTTACTGCGACTCGCACTCTTTCAACATTTGCTGGTGTACAGAGTTTTGCGGCACCCACCGATTATTTTTAAGGTTTAAGTGTTTATCGTAAATAATTTTACCCAGTTCACCATTGTTTTCCAATCTGGAACAGTGCCATGTTGACCAAGGATGGAATGTGGTCCAAACAATCTCTGGGTTTTTGCACAAAAACCACTATTTTAAAAATAGGTTTGCACATCAAAATCTCAGTGTTAATAGCCTCGGGCATAATATTTACTAAAATAACATAGTTTAATTGATGTTTTAAGCACAGCTGATCATTCGTTGTTGCAAAAATTAACATGTGACGGCTAAAACAAATTGTGGCGTTCTCATTTGCCCCACCCTGTACTTGCTGTGTATCAGGCCATTGCTGAATTACAGCGATCTAAAGTTAAAATTTTGGCAAATTTCGGAAAAACTGGATTTCCCCCTTCCTATTAAGTGAATAATTTCTTAGCCATAAGTCGTAGAAACAACATATTAAATGTAATTATAGGAAATTTAATTGTCTACAACATTGACTAAATCTTCTTTTTCACTAAAACGCACCAACACTGAGATATATAGGCGAAAATCTCAAGAAAGTGCCGATTTTTTGTTATTTTTCCAATGTGGTGGCAGGCGCAGAGAGGGAAAATTGTGCATTTTGCATTTTTAACTCCTACTTACCATCCTAGGCAACATATAAAAAATTTTGATCTACCGGACCGTTTGTAAGTTAACATACCTTTATTCACTGGATTATAATCTCCCTTAACACATTGAAAGCATTAAAAATATCAGTGGGTGCTTCCCCAGGGCCTGAAATTTTATTTTACATATAAGATCCTGTACCTTTTGTTCCTAGAAGTGAGGATCCACTTCAGAAATGGTGTTTTGAGCAGTTTTTCCCAATAAAAATGGTCATTGGTGACCGGCCAGCCCGCGCACTGAAGTTTGTAGCACATGAAGCAACTGAAGTTTGTTCACATGTTAATTTTTGCAACAACGAATGATCAGCTGTGCTTAACTTGAAGTTTGTAGGCACCGTGACGAAAATACTCCATTTTTGGTCTCACAAACACTGTTTTTCACACTAAAAATGTTAAAGCAAAAATGTTAGCACTATAACTAATATTTACAATTATATAAAGCCCCTTTCTCCCTCCCAACCATTGGTTTTTTCAATCACAGTGAATCTTGGAACTGCTGAAAACAATTTGGTATTGGGGAGTCCATCTTTATTTAAAGGCACATAAACTAACATAAAAATAATAAGGTACTTTCCTGTTAAAGGGAACATTCATTATTATCGAAGATTTTTTCTCGATATATCGATGTTTTTGTTTTCCGATCCATTACAAATTGACAACAAGAAATGAAACTGTTCTAAGCTAACCTAACATAACCAACCATACTTGCTGTACCATTTAAAAATCCCCTTTGGGTTTGAATATAAAAGGCAAGTTTTAAACGCGGAATTTTTAAATGTTACAGCAAGTTTGGTTAGTTATGTTAGGTTATTTATTTTAGAACAGTTTCATTTCATTAATGTTTGTTGATACTGAACAATATTTTTTGTCATTGTCAGCTGATATGTTTCAATTTGTTAATATCCATATATCGAGAAAAAAAATCATCGATAATAATGAATGTTCCCTTTAACAGGAAAGTACCAATAATAAAATATCATGTTGTGTTGTATGAAAAAAAAAACACAAAAGATATAAGTCAATAAATTGTTCAAGTGGGAATCTACTGGTCTCAGGCGAGTGGTCATTGGTGACCGGCCAGCCCGCGCACTGAAGTTTGTAGCACATGAAGCAACTGAAGTTTGTTCACATGTTAATTTTTGCAACAACGTGTTACCGGTCCGCAGGAACAACGGGCAAAACACACACAATATAGGTAATGTAACGCTACCATCGCACACCAGAGCATATTTTAAAAGGGATTTCCACTGGGCGACAGTGGCGCCGGACTTACCGGAGGGTGTGGGGGGTCCCATTAAAAAGGGGATTTCGAGGGTTCACGCCCGAACATTTTTGCATAGATTTAAGTGAAAATCACAGATTTATAAGTATCTTTTAATTAATTTTTCAATTTTATTTGTTTGTAAATAGTCCATAATCTCATTTAATTACGTATTCTAGAACGTTGTAAAAGGCCAAGGCTCCCTTTACAACCTCTTGGGCCATACAATCATAGCTCAATACTTTAAAATGTTTACATAGTGTTATTTTTTTAATTCTGATACATTTAAAATGTGAATCATCAAAAAAAAAAAAAATGCCGGCACCACCCATAGTCACTGGGCGACAAAATCACAGCGCTTTTTCTTGTCCGGTACAAATTTTGCAATAAAATTAAACTAACTTCCTGATGAGCTAGAGACTTGAAACTTAAAACATATCTCACAAATGGATGACAATACAATATTATATAATCGAATTTTCATATTTCTCTTGGGCTACCCCCATGGGCTTGTTTTTTTATTAGCTCGCTGTTATGTATCAAGAAATAAGTCCATATGTTTTATTTATAACATCTGTCAGATGACTGTTTACATTATTATGTTTTGTTTACTTTTTAGTTTAGTCTGATTTGTGAGTTCAATAAATTCGGTTGTGTTAATTATGTTTTAATTTACTAAACTGGCGACGAGGATAATTGGATAATGGATCTCAATAAGCCTGATCGTTTTGACCCCCATACAAATCCTGCAAGTGTCGCACAGCGTTGGGGTACATGGATTAAGCAATTTGAGAGGTATGCTTTAGCTGCAGACATTACCAGTGATGTAAGGAAAACTGCACTAGTACTTAATCTAGCTGGTGAGGAAGTGGCTTACATTTTTGACAGTTTACCACAACCTAATGAAATAACGTACAAAAATGTTATAAAACTATTAACTGACTATTTCGCTCCTACCAAAAATGTCCTTTTTGAAATATTTAATTTTAGGAAGTGTCATCAAGCAGAATCAGAGTCGTTTAACTCTTTCTATTCTCGACTAAGAACATTAGCTGTGAACTGTGAATTCAAAGACTTGGATAGGGAATTAATTATGCAAATTTTGATTGGATCTAGAAGTGATGAGTTAAGGAATAAAATTTTGAAAGAACCTACTATTAAACTTCAGGATGTTGTTATTGCAGCTAAGTCAAATGAATTATTTCAAACTCAAAGCAAGGAACTTTCTTTCAGTAGCTCAAGTTTTGCTAATGCACATAAAATTGACCATTCAAACAGGAAATTTGTTGCATTTAACAACAATCCAGCTCACTCTGTTACACCTAATGTTTGTCTTGGTTGTGGACTAAGACATTTTAGAAGGGATTGTCCCCATCTTCAGACTACTTGTAATATTTGCAAGAAAATTGGGCATCTAGCACGAGAGTGTAAAGGAGGGAAACCACGCCCCAAAGAATATTTTAGCCAAAAACACGGATCAAAGGGACAGCGGGCTCATGAAGTTTTGTCAGAGGAAACCAATTATGAACAAGAAGAAACTTTTCCACCTCAATCAAATAACGAAACAACTCAATACGTCCAGGAAGTTAACTGCACTAAAGTACCGGAACTGTATACCACTGTCAACATAAATAATCACAAAGTTCTAATGGAAGTTGATACTGGTGCAGGTGTTTCTATCATAGGAGGAGAACTATGGAATACAATTTCTCATAAAAACTGTAAACTACAACCTTCTCCTTGGAAACTCAAGGATTACAGTGGTAAACCTGTAAGTGTTTTAGGTCAGACTAATGTTTATGTGAAATACGGTAAGTTCAATGGTTTCCTTCCGTTAGTCATAACTGAAGGTAATAGAAATAGTTTATTGGGGCGTAATTGGCTAAAAAGTCTTAACATTGAAGTAAACGGAGTACTTTCAATCAACTGTCATGAATCTGAAGTTCTTAATAAAGCTCAGCTGGATGTTCAACATCTGAAAAGTGAATTTTCCGATGTATTTTCAAATTCTTTAGGGTGCTATAAAGGACCTCCGATCGAACTGAAAATTGACCAGAATTATAACCCAATTCACTTAAGAGCGCGCCCTTTACCTTATGCATTGCAGGCCCCAGTAGAAGAAGAGCTGAATAAGTTAGTTAATCAGGGAGTGTTAGAACCTGTTCAGGTATCGGATTGGGCCACACCAATTGTTGTTTCCGTAAAAAGCAATGGTAAAATACGAATTTGCGGTGGTTATAAGGCAACGTTAAACAAAGCTATCCAAGATCATCTGTACCCTATTCCACCAATCTCTCAGCTCTTAGCAAACTTAAACCAAGGGAAATATTTTGCTAAGTTAGATTTAGCCCAAGCTTATCAACAACTGGTTGTTGATGAGAAGTCGGCGCTAGCTCAGACACTAATTACACACAAGGGTGCTTTTAAACCAAAAAGACTACAATTCGGTATTAGCTCAGCTCCATCTATATTTCAACTTTTTATTGAGGGTTTGCTTTCGGGCTTGGACAATGTAATCCCTTACTTTGATGATATTTTGGTTAAAGCAGGAACAATACACGAATTGATTACCACATTAAGACAAGTATTCACTCGTTTTAGAGATGCAGGGATTACACTCCAAAGCGAAAAGTGTTCTTTGTTATCTACATCAGTTGACTTCTTTGGGATTTGTTGTGAGCTCTGACGGAATTCGTCCTAACCCGGACAAAGTCAAATCCATTCAAGATGCTCCTGAGCCGACTAACAAGGAACAACTGCAGGCATTTTTAGGTTTACTTAATTTCTATCACTGTTTTTTACCCAACAAAGCCAATGTTGCAGAACCTTTACATCGCTTATTGGACAAAAATGTTAAATGGCGGTGGGAGGAAAAACATAAACTTGCTTTCAATGCTTCAAAGAAGCTCCTTTCTTCCGATAGTATACTGGCTCATTACAATCCCTCCAGCCATCTTATACTAACTTGTGATGCATCTCCTTATGGTATTGGTTGTGTGCTTAGTCAGGTTCGAGGGGAAAAGGAAGTTCCAATTGCGTTTTATTCCAGGACAATGAGTCAGTCAGAACGAAGATATGCTCAAGTAGATAGGGAAGCACTTTCCATCATTGGAGGGGTTAAAAAATTCCACAATTACTTATATGGGAGGCATTTTGAAATTAGAACAGATCATAAGCCACTTCTGGGTCTTTTCACTGTGGATAAACAAACACCAAACACACTGTCACCTCGAATGATTCGCTGGAGTATCCTTTTAAATGGATATGACTTTGATCTTGTATACAAACCGGGGATTTCTATTCCGAATGCTGATGGTTTGAGTCGTCTTCCATGTTCCTCCAATGTTGTTGATCAAGAGATAAATGAAGTCTTGAATGACGTGCTATACATTGAATCCGATGAGGTTAAACCAATCACCGCTAATATAATAGCAAAAGAAACAGAAAAGGATCCACTTCTATCTAAAGTACTATTATGGACTCAACGTGGTTGGCCAACTCATAACTCAGATATCAACCTTACGCCTTTCATTTCTCGTCAAAATTCAATTTCTCAATACAAACAATGTTTACTTTGGGGAACTAGGGTGATCATTCCATCCACTCTCAGGCAACAAGCTCTGAAGCTTCTACACATGGGACATGAGGGCATTGTTCGAACAAAGGCGTTGGCTCGAAGCTATTTCTGGTGGCCAAAACTTGATCAAGACATAGAAAACATAGTGAATTCTTGTCAAGCATGTCAACAAAGTCGTCACAACCCTCCAAGAGCAACAGTTCTTCCCTGGGAGAAAACGAAACAACCCTGGTCTCGTCTCCACATAGATTTCGCTGGGCCCTTCCAAAACAAGTTGTTTTTGATTGTTGTCGATTCTTTCAGCAAATGGTTAGAAGTAGTTTTGGTGCCTTCTACAGATTCAAGATCAACTATAAAGGTCCTCAGAAGCCTTTTCGCAACACATGGTGTTCCAGACACAATAGTATCTGATAACGGGTCGGCTTTCACTTCACAAGAATTTCGATCGTTTAATGAAAGCAATGGCATCCGCCACGTCGTGGTTGCACCATACCATCCGTCATCGAATGGTCAGGCAGAAAGGATGGTCCAAACGACAAAAAATTCTTTGCGACGAATACTTCAAGGAGATTGGCAAAAAAGATTGGCTCAGTTCCTAATATCATCTCATATAACGCCAAATTGTTCTACTAATATGTCACCGAGTGAACTGCTGTTCGGAAGGCGTATTAGAACCATCTTAGACAGAGTTCACCCAGATTATTCTTCAAGTGACAAAGAAGAGAAAATCTTGGATAAAGCGCTTCACGATTACCAACAGTCACCTCAGAGGAAATTTAAAGAAAATGACTCCGTATTTGCAAGAAACTATAATCAGCGAGGACCAAAGTGGATTCCTGCTAAAGTCACTAGAATAACCGGGCCACTGAGCTACCATTTGATAACAAAAGAAGGCATTGAAATACGACGTCATATTGACCAATTGAGACCTCGCTCAGAAACATCAAAAGCATCTACTAACTCACACTTGGATAATCCTGAATCTCCAGTAAACCCACCATTCCACCCACTACTCCAGAATCCTATTCAAATGAGAACACCAGAAGCACATCATATCACTCCAGTGCAACCACCATCAATGGTTCGCAATCCTATTATGATGAGAACACCAGACGTACAACCAATGCGACCATCAGTGATGCAACAATCTCGCAATTCCTTTAGTGGTATAGAAGGTTCAATTAACCCTCATCAAGAAGATGCTGGTTTCAACGTTTCTGGTTTAATTCAAGACTCCACTAGCATGAGCACGAGTCCACAACCTGTTCGGTCACGTGTCTCTAGATCAAACTCCCAAAACACTTCAATGAGCATGAGTCCTCGACCTGTTCGTATCCGTCGACCACCGGCATATCTGAAGGACTACCTAACGGGGGGAGGAGTGTTATGTATCAAGAAATAAGTCCATATGTTTTATTTATAACATCTGTCAGATGACTGTTTACATTATTATGTTTTGTTTACTTTTTAGTTTAGTCTGATTTGTGAGTTCAATAAATTCGGTTGTGTTAATTATGTTTTAATTTACTAAACTCGCTTTCTTGCTTGGTACAAATTTGGCAATCAATTTTAAACCAACTTCCCGATGAGCTAGACACTTGAAACCTGAAACATAGCTCACAAATGGATGAAAATGCAATATTATATCATTTTATTTTCATATTTCCCTTGGGCTAAGGCCCATGGGCTTCCATATCTTTCATGTTTACATTTTGAAAAGATGTAAATATATCAATTGAAGTCAGCTGTAAATACTTAAATTTGACAGTTCGAAGAGCAGAGGTTAAGAGGTACAGGTTCTGCTCCCGAGATTTTCTAAAATATAAAACAAGCATTTAAAAGTAAAGATAAACATCTGATTACAGATAATAAGGTTTTGGTTATGTAATAACGGGCCATGTAATAGCTATTTACCTTACAAGAGGAGTAAGAGCGTTTTTACATGCAGGTGAATGTTGTGCAACGAGTGGAAGCGAGTTGCATAATTTACCTAAGTGATGTAAACACGCTCTTGCGTAACGTGTAACGTACAAGATTTTACCTGACCCGACAATATATAGGGGGTTACGTACAATATTTCTCATTATCCATTTCACTCATCTTCTAACAGTAACGTTCTATTACAAACAAAAGCTAGGTTAGGAAAATACTTCAAAGCATAACAATAAAATTCAAGCGCACAGCTGATTTCTAGCGTTGAACGTAGTTGGCTCCATAGAGGTATATTTTTTAAGTTGAGCACTCAATGTTATTTAAATGGGTTTCATTACTTCACCGAGTGAGTTTTTGAAACTTTACTTCACTTGTGAAGTAAAGAAGCTGTATACATCACGCTTGGGATAGGGAAGTTTAACATGGCGGGCTAGGTAAAATAGGTTTAAGATATTTACACATTAAAGACTAAAAAGAAGAAAATAATTTATAAATAAAAATACTTTTAAAAAATGCCACGTTTTTAAACGAACTAAAAAGTAGAAAATAATTTATAAATATGTGGAGGGAATAAATACTTGTAGGATTTAAAACGAAAAACGTGGGGCGCATGCACTGGATAATAATAGTTCAATAGGTGAAGATATAGCGCGCCCCACGTTTTTTGTTTTAAATCTTACAAGTATTTATTCCCTCCACATATTTTTAAATTATTTTCTACTTTTTAGTGCGTTTATAAACGTGGTATTTTAAAAAACCCTTCAATTTACTAATTTTACAATTAGTAAATTGTACTAAAGCTTTTCACATTTTGACGATATTCTGTGCTCTAAGGTCACCAGATTTTATCTTGTGTTAATATTTATTGGTCTTTTCCAAAAATTTTGCATCACCATTCACAAACCTCAATTTATGGTGGATCTTAAAAACACAATTGAATCCGGAATGGTAACTGGGAAATGCTGGGACGTGTAATGGAAGAATTTAAATGATTGAACGTGAATGAAAATGATTGAATCATGAATTAATGAAAGTGGACACCATTTGACTTACATTATTTTCCACAAGTAAAGAGGTCTGACAAGTGTATCCAACTGTGGTTAGTAAATAAGGAATTTCTTAAATGGCAAGAGTTTACGAAGATTTTAAAGTCATAATTGATACAAAATCAACTGAGTAATGCTTATTTTGAAAATGGTGTTTTTTTGCCTCTGGGGACTTTAAAACAAACAAAAAAACTGGTCCCGGGCCTGGGCCTTACCATGAGACCTCGGGTCTTAGCTGATATTCCTAATAGGAGAAATTCACTAATACCTACTCAGTAAAAATGTAAAAAATTACTATAATAACGATAATATAGCCAAAACAAAACTGGGGTTAGTGATGTGCACTTTTCTTAATTCAATTGATAATCTAACTTGTCTTGGAGATTGAAGTTGTATTAGGTATATAAACATCCCACACAATTTTTTATCTATACTATATGTTTTTTTTAACATGTTTAACTTCATTATTTTGAATTTTAGCCTCCTGATCGCATTTAAATACTATAAATTGGTGTAAAACACCTGCATTTATGCGATCTTGTTTGTAGCTGAGTTGCTACCGGTTTCAACTCACATTGGAGTCATCTTCAGGCAGTTATAAGATGTCTTCTCGCTTCATTCGAAGTTCGTCAATGGATAATAAATAAATAAACAAAACACAAACACGTACACGGACATAAAAAAGAACATTTAAAGCTGTAAAATACTGAAAACGGTAGGCCTACGGGACACGACACGACGTGATCGGGAGAAAGTTATGTCTAGACTCCTTCTCCGTTTTCAGTATTTTACAGCTTTAAATATTCTTTTTTATGTCCGTGTACGTGTTTGTGTTTTGTTTATTTATTTATTATCCATTGACGACCTTTGAATGAAGCGAGAAGACATCTTATAACTGCCTGAAGATGACTCCAATGTGAGTTGAAACCGGTAGCAACTCAGCTACAAACAAGATCCCATAAATGCAGGTATTTTACACCAATTTATAGTAACATGTTTAGCCTCTGAATCACGTAATTTACTAATAAAAAGGTTAAATACCTGTAGTACTTGTCCGTGATCCTGTTTTTTGGTCAGCGACCCAGGTTTCGAACCTAAAGGTTCATTTTCAAGCTGATACCATGGTTAAACTCCTTCTAAGCACACAAATCCTCTTCATAACTGTGAAGAGTCGTTGAACACACGAACACGAACACGAAAACACAAACATTAAACAAAATTGGCCAATTAATATAATACTGGTACGGTAGCGTGCGTGGTGTAGCCTGCAAAAGATGAGTGATGACTCATCATGGTATCATGATATCAGCTTGAAAATGAATCTTTACGTTCGAAACCTGGGTCGCTGACCTAAAAAACGGGATCACGGACAAGTACTACAGATATTTAACCTTTTTATTAATACTATATTATGTGTTTTAAGTTTTGATCATGTGCATTACGGTATTTTTAATGTTTTGTATGACATACAAGAATAGAAAATAAGTTTTTTTTTTGCTATTCACAGCAATGCACACAGCACTGGCACAGCACTCTTTGATGATGGCTATGGACTCGAGTTCAAATATCACAATTATGACCAGATGACTAAGTTTCTTAGAACTACTTCCTCTCGCTATCCTAACCTCACAGCTCTCTACTCTATTGGGAAGTCTGTTCAAGGTATGTATACAACTTTAAATATGATTATATCTACAAATCCTTATATCAATCAGCTATAGTTAGGAGTGCAACAAACATTATTATAACTGTTGGTATTTCTTTCTACATCATACTTCTATGACTAAACTTAAGCTCAATGAAGCACATCAATTAGAGACATATACAAGGGATGTATAAAATAATCTGGATATAGACTTGTCTCACAAGGGATTTCGTTCTGACGTTGCTAGGTGCGCGCTGATCTCGTAAATTTAAACTCAGTCGCCAGACGGTGCCCAGCGTGACAACGAGAGCATTCTCGCGCTGTCCGTTTTTTTCACAATTTAAAAATCCCGTATCAAGGAACGCTGCGTTTAAAAATCCTGCCAGTTAAGAGGTATTTATCATGATATATCTCAAAATCTAGCGGAAGGATTGATGAAATTTTGGAATTAGGGACTTATAGCCCTAAAATCCTGATTGACAACAGCCACTACCTCAGGAAAATTCACATTTCGCTACACAACTCATTTGAAAATTTAAAAATTGTAGGTTGCCAAGAAAGTAACTATGTTGATTGGAATTTTATATTGTAACATAAAATAGGATGATATTTCTGTGGATATTTCTGTAGGATGATATTTAAAGGAGAAAACACACAGGGTCTCCACCGACCAGGAAAACCAGAAAAACCGGGAATCATGCTTAATTTTTTGAAACCCGGAATTATGCGTGAATTTTATATTTTACCGGGAATATTCAATGACGTTTCCGTGATCGCGGGAGACGACGATGACGTTTCCATGACGGCGGGAGACGACAGTGACATTTCCATGATCGCTGGAGACGACGATGATGTCAAAACAGCCACGTGATTTGTTGGTGATTTTGCCGCGATCCCGCATGATGATGATGACGTAACCCGAAGAAATAATGTAAAAATATTTTCAACTTTTTTCCGATACAGTGTATGCAAAAACTGAGGGACACTATAGTTTGAATCTCGGAATTTTCAAATGCAAACATATGTCATGTTATACATCATTTAAAGGTTTTTAAAGACAAACATTTTGGCGAAAACAGAAATGAATTATCATTTTCCGTTTCAAAATGGCAGCAGTTTATTTGAAAAAAAAAACCAATATGTTTTTAATACTCTGTGTTTCCTATACCAATGCACTTAGCCCTTCTCCTGTTGAATTTTCTTACTCGTTATGAAATTAGTTTTACCGTGATATGCTAAAAGTAAAGTTTTTTTTTAATAATAAAAATTCCAAAAAAATAGATTTTTAAAAATTTGCAAATGCCCATTGCTCAAAATTTTTAATCAGCAACATATGTCAAAAGGAACATTATTTTATAGGTTTTTATTCCTTAACAACTTTGTAATTAAGACCTTATTTGCTTTTGTATCTCTTTTAGTTTTTGTGTAAATAACAAAAATTGTTATTTGTGCAACTAGTGAGCAAAGTGAGCAATTGCACTTTACACTTGAGTTGCACATTATATTTTTCCTACAGTTACCATAAAACAAATAAATGGGTAAAGAAACGTGCCTTCACGTTGCAAATCTGGAGTGAGACAATGTTAACATTAATTGTCTCACTGATGAGCGAATTGGCCACTTTGCTTTCTCAAATCAGTGAGAGAACATGTACATTGTTAGGTAACTGTAGGAAAACCTAATTTTCCTATATAAAATGCATGTTATTTGGGTTTAACCCTAAATTAAATGGGGGATTTAGTCTAAACCTTCAGTATCCAATAGTCAATGGTCTAAACCCAAATAAAATGCATTTGATATAGGAAAATTAGGTTGTTTAAACTACACAAGTTGGTTCTATGAATTCATTTGCATTAAAAGGTTATAAGGTTTACCAAAAGTGTGCAGCACTCTTTTTGCATTTATGACAACAGCTAATTTGAACCAAGCAGTAACAAAAAGCTGTGAGAACTTTACTTTTTTCTATTGTTTCGGTGCAGTGGTAGAACATTATGGCTATGGTAGATTTGCTATAGTATAGTATACAGTAGACAATATTTCATTATTTACATAATTCATGTCAACAAATTGTTGATGGTTAACTTAAAACTATTTACAACATTGTAGGGTTGAGGGGAAGATCCACTGGTGCTGTTTTTTTTTTTTCAGGAATTCGGCTTCTGTGTAAAATGGTCTGTCCTGTAGCCATGATGTCAATTTGTTCTTGAAGTGTGGCAGTGGTAGTGTCTTGAGCTGCTCAGGTAGATGGTTGTAATACAAAGCTCCTTTGTACGCTGGTTTCCTTTCAAATAGGCTGAGATGGTGTGGTGGCAAGGCAAAGTTTGAGGCATGCCTTGTGTTGAATTGGTGCATGTCCTGGTGTCTTGTTTGTTGTGAGCTTATTGCGTGCAGGATTGTTTCACGTATGTAGAGTGATATTACTGTGAGGATTTTGAATTGTTTGAAGTGTTCTCGGCAGCTTTCCTGATATTGTATGCCTGCCAGGCATCTGATTGCTCTTTTCTGTCGTTTGAGGACCCTTTCTATGTTTGTGTTGGCTGTTCCTCCCCATTTAGTTATGGTATACCTCAGATGTGATTCAAAAAGGGCAAAGTAAGCTACTTTAGCCACGTCCAGGCCACTTATTTGCTTCATTCTGCGAATCACGTAGATGCCTGAAGAAAGCTTCATGCAAAGTTGATCTACATGTGGTTTCCAAGTTAGTTTTGAATCAATCATAACACCTAGGTGCTTCGTTGTTTCTTTTAATTCTACTTGAGGCAGTGGTTTTAGTCGTGTGTTCTTGTTTTTGGTCGCAAAAGCCATTTGTACTGTTTTTGTTTCATTTAGGACTAGATAATTTTCTGAGCAGTATTGTTTAGTTTGGTTGAAATAGGTAATTGTGTTTCTTTCTAGCATTACTGCTTGTTTATCAGTAATTGTGAGGACTGTATCGTCTGCATACATGACTGTATGACAGTCGCTTTGAAGCCAGTCTGGCATGTCATTTGTGTGATGGAGGAATAATACTGGGCCGAGCACAGAGCCTTGAGGTACCCCTCTTATTACATTAGCAGTTTTTGAGTGGACTTTTTGAGTGGTGTTGTTGTTGGTGAGTTGATTTTAACAAGTTGTTTTCTATCTTTTAGATAGCTTTCAAACCAATCTGCTTCTTTTCCTGTTATGCCCAAGGTTCTTAGTTTTTGGAGTAGCTGGGCATGGTTTAGGCAGTAAAACGCCTTGCTGAAGTCTAAAAATAGACTAGTGACCATGCAGCCCTCATGTTCTATAAGTTGTATCAGGGCTGTTGCTGTTGATCTCTCTTTCAAAAATCCATGCTGTTGGTTTATAAGAAGGTTGTGGTGTTCAAGGTGGGTCAGTAGTCTCTGAAGAACAATTTTTTCAATTATTTTTGAGAATGTGGGAATGAGTAAGATTGGTCTGTAGCTTCCAGTGTCAGTTTGTGGTCCTTGTTTATACTTTGGATATATTTTAGCTATCTTCATTTTGTTGGCAAAACTCCTTGGTTCAGGGAATTGTTTTGATTTTGTTTGTGAGCGGGCTGGTAAGTGCTTCTTTACATTCTTTAGTAATTTTTGCTGATATTTCATTGATGCCTGAGGAAGTTTTTGGTTTTAAGGAGACTATAGCTTTCATTACTTCTGCATGTGTTGTTGGGTGAAACTACAGGTTGTGGTCTGTTATGGGTGGTATGACTTGGGGGATGCTGTTTGGGTTTGTGTTGTTGTTGGCTTCTTGGAGTGTCCTTTCTGCTACTGTGGCAAAGAAAGTGTTGAAGTGGTTTGCTACTTCATGAGGGTCACTTTTTTGTTCTCCATTTAATTGAAGCATTAGTTGGTTTTCTGTGCTTCTTGCTGCTTTTCTTTTATTGTATTACCTGCCACAGAGCTTTTGATTTATTTTTTGCCTGGTTGATGTGTGCTGCAGTGTTTTCTTTCTTGAGGGTTTTCAGTCCTAGGTCATATTCTTTTTTCTTGGCTGCTGTCTCTGCTTTGTCTTCCGCTTGCCCTGTACGTTGTTCTTTTTCCAAGGCATTAATGTAGTTGTTTTTTGGCCTTGTGCATTCATTGTCCCAATACTGCCTTTTTTTGTGCTGTCGCCTTCTTACAGTTCTAAGGGGGCAGGTTTCATTGAGAGCTGTTTGTATGGTGTTGTGTTAATTGTTGTAGGCTTGATTTACATCTTCTGTCAGCAGAATGTTATTCCAATTCTGTGTTATAGTCCTCGCCACCCTAAGTTGAGGCAGCCCAAGGCCGCACGGCGTATATCTAGTGCGGCCTTTGGCTGCCTCAACTTAGGGTGGCGAGGACTATAGCAGGTTTTCTTTGAGAAGTATCATCCCTCTTTTGGTGTATATTCTCTTTTTTTCATTTGTTGTGCTTTGGCCAGGCTTGGGCATGTTAATTGTAGCAAACTATGTGCTGAGTGGTCAGAGAGTCCTGACATGACAACAGAAGTTTGTATTAGCTCTGGGTTTATATTTGTAATGTTGAGGAATCTTTTGAGACTCTTGTGGGTGGTAGTATCATCCTGACTATGCCATAGCTAGTTAGAAGCTCCTCTAGTTTTGCATTATCACTATTTTCTGTTAGGTTGTCTACATTGTAGTAAGGTTGTAGTCAGGTTGTAGTAAATTATAGTAAACCAAATTTTCTTATATAACGTACATGTCCTCTCCCATTGCAAAAGCAAAGCACGAGTATGACTGCAATAAGCATTTTATACTTATACGCCAACCCCGTACGAAGGACGGGTTCTCTGATAGTGTTTAATAAATATAACTGTAGAGCTAAAAAAATGTATGTTATACACAGTTTCTGTTATAAGAGTGTTGTGTGAATTAAATGCTTATTTTCCATATAGATAATAATTTTAAATTTGACTTTCAGGAAGAGACTTATGGGTGATGGTAGTTTCTGCCTCCCCATATGAGCACATGATTGGGAAGCCTGATGTCAAGTATGTAGCTAACATGCATGGCAACGAAGCAGTGGGAAGGGAGCTCATGCTTCACTTGATACAGGTACATAGGTCAATAAATGTTTAGCAAAGATTGTATTATTCTTGAAAACCACTTTTGTTAGAGCCTTATCTTGGATTCTCTCTACAAATACGACTTTTTTTGTGACTGTAGGTATTTGATGAAAAATGGCATCTGGGTCTAGAATAGACCCTGCATGGTGTCCAACCAGCGACCATTGTATTAGAAGCCAAGGACTGTAACCACTTGGCTACCAACTAAGAGAAATAAGTTTTAGGTCTACTGCTGTGATGGACTTTTACCAATATTTTAACTTGTAAGTTATTATTGAGGGTTCAGATAGTTACCATCCTGGTAAATCTGTATGTTTCCTATGTTACAGTATTTGGTAAACAGCTACAACACTGACAACTACATTAAATGGCTACTAGACAACACTCGAATCCACATCTTACCTTCCATGAATCCTGATGGATTTGAAGTTGCTCGAGAGGGTAAGAAAAAGAGTTATAACATAAGAACTAGAAAATCTATAAATAATAGTAAAGAAAAGGTAACAAAATTATTATAGAAAATCTACCTACCTTATCTATACAAATATACATACATACATTTCATTTAACACATTAAGTGCCACACGTACTACTGTACTGTAATGAGTTTTACCGGACACCAATCAGCTGATTACACTGTATTTGGGTGACAATGAGTGGTTATAAACAAAAACATAACCTCTCTTAAAGGTTATGACTAGTGATTTTTAGTCCTTTAGTTGGTGGTAATATGTAAGGATTTGTACAGATTTAGTAGTATGGCGTAAACTATCGTACGTAACTTGTCCAAAATGTGTTAACCGGACTTGTATGGTAATCCCGTACTCGACTGTCTCGCACAGCAACGACCACACTCGTCCGGTAAACACTTATTTTCAGGACTAGTAACGTAATATACTATTACAGGATAACTTTGATATGATAAAAGCCTATTACAATGAAAAACAGGTGTAGATAGATGACAAGAGAGGAATTTTTAATTGAACACATTAAACATGAAGAAAACATGAAAACCCAAATTTATTACCTTGACAAAAAGAATACAAAATTATCAATTTTAACAGTTCAAAAGCTCTTAGCAGTTAAAAATTAATTTTCCTAGCTTTGATCTTGGCAAATTCTTTAATTGCAGAGTTGGTATCAATCTCGTTCAGAACATCAGAATGTGGTTCAGAACATGAGTCATGAAATGAAACCCACAGGCGCCGCGCTGTAGTACGCTGTCGACTGCCGAGCGTCAGAGCTCACTACAAATCGAAACTACAAATGGCATTAAGTCCTTATGAGTTGTAGTGCTGTAAAAATATACACATTTTTCATATGCTTTTGGTACAAACATAATAAATGCCTTTATTGTGGTGCTTTGAATACTTGAACTCTGAGCAAAAATAAACAAAATTACGTTGTTCACTAAAAAAAAAAATTTTCCGTTTGGCGCCAATTTTTCGTGGCGCCATATGCGGCCGCTTAGTTTGCGTATGGGTTAAACCGGCCTTGGGTATACATCAATTCACATTTTCTTGTTCTCCATTAAACTCTACAACTTTTGGTTAACTTGCAAGCCAAAAGCTTCAATGGTTACAGTACCACATGAAGAGCTGTCCAAAACAAAAAATAATTTTTAATAAAGATTTTTTTGAAAATATTTTATTTTTAAACTTATTTTTATCAGTCACAACCAACATGATTGCACAAAATAGTAATGCAATCTCTTTGAAATTTAATATTCTATCTATCAATGCAAGTTTTATCAAAATATCTTGTAAATTTTTTAATCTAGAGGGCAAAATCATAGATTAAACATACTCCCTTAGTAGATTCTCCGCGGGATAGGGGTCGGTATGTTCGAGCACTTGTACGGCGAAGTTGCGTGCTGCCCACGTAGTTCAGTACGGTCAGGCTAGGAGCGCTAGAGGTCTCGCCGTACAGCCACACACACAAACACACTCTTACCGCGTTATAGCTCTCACACGCGCGTCCACAAGCCCCGCGCGCCCCGCCGCGCGCCAGCACTGAGCACCAGCGAGCAAGGAATACCACCTTGGCACATAGGCCTACACACGACCACGACACTCACACCCAGCTTGATTCCATACAGCGTCATTTGTACGTGCAGAGCCTCGGCTAACTGTATTTCAGTATTTGTAACACTAGTGTTTTATTGCGATTGTTCTAGTTTAGTTAATGTGATGTTGATAATTAAATTAATTGTTCTTTTATTTGAATAGCCATCTATTGTATTTGTTACTTGTGAGTATTTTTAACCGAATACCCCACTACCAACAAAAGAATGAGGTTCTCAATTCGTTTGTGCCAATGTATTTTTTTCTATAGATGTTCATCAATTTCTCTGGGATTTTTATACCGATCAGCATGGTTCCACTCCCAAAATAACCATGGTTTCCCTTTGGTACCATATATAACATTATGTTTAAGTGTAGGCCTAAATATTGGTTCCAGTGAAAAAATGCTGAAAACCTTTATAACATATTTATTTTGTTAATATGTTTACAGAGAAAGCAATAAATAATAATAATATTCTCACAACTGTTAGTTGAAACGATGAAGGTACAGAGACAGATCTTCATGAAAAAGTTGCTTAATATATTTCATGCCATGGAGCCTAAATAACTGACTTTGAGTTTACTAGGCGTTTTGTTTTGGTTACTATGAAAAAGGTATTTCAACATTTGACCTGCATTTTGTATAACTCCGTTTTGAGTATTGAAATTGTATTCTGGTATCAACACCATAAAATAAACATCATAACAATAAAATTATAGTATATCATTGGAAACATTATTCCAATCAAACAATACACTTATTTCCTATTGATTTTTAAGACATAAAACTTTTAGGCTACGTCGGTTTACAAAAAACATGTTTGGCTGCAAAAGGTAGGTAATAGGGTATAGTGTGGTAAAAAATAGAGTTCGTACCACGGACCGAAATGTTTTTGCAGCTCTCGATCGATTTAATTTCTGGCAATCCCAATTCATCACCTGGTTTACCAAAATTTTTATAACCAGGAATTATGTAACCAGAACAGGTGACTCAAGCAGTTTTAAAATAATAACTGTTCAGTAACTTTCTTGATCGGTCCAAACAATTTTGCTTTTAAAAACCCTTTAAGTAATAAATATGTTACAAATTAGAATTAAGTCACTAATAAGATGAAATAATTTATCTTTGTAAAAAAACAACCGATTTCAAACCCTCTAAAATAATAAAAACAATAAAATCATAACAGGATAGGTAACATAAATATATATATATAACAAACATAAGCACTGTTTTTTATACCAAGGAAGTATTTACTTGTATTTTATATTTACTTCTGAATGAATGCAATATGCAACTATGACACACTAATTGATATGAATAAGAAACAAATTATGTTGATATTATGTTAGGGAAAAGAGGCTAGGTCAATATTAAAACGTTACTTATCCAAATTAAAAATATTTAAATGCATTATCATTAAAAGATACTAGTTAATATCACTATAGGATTACAATTTATTATCTTATAAAAAAAAACTTTAAAAAGGCATCTGCCAATGATGGGTTACAATAATAAAATAACTCCAAATGCAAATCTCTGAAAAAACATGAAGATTAACATCATTAGTTAGATAACCGCCTGCAATGTGGACATCCTCTTTAAATTTTCAGTATGTTGTGTCAAACATCATCATAGACTTCAAATACGTGAACTTGAACATTACAAAAGTTTACTTTGAAAGATTTATTTAATTATTTTTAGAGTGTTTAAAGTAGGTTAATTTTTTTTACATAACTGTTAGTTAAGGAATTTATTATTGTGATATATATAGGTCTATACAAAATTCTTAGGTTTTCTCTTCTTAGTTATACGAGTCGGTTCGGCTCTTTTAACAGACCGAATTTCATAATTTTGGTCTAAAATTCAAGGTATACACGCACAGATTTGCCATCAAGCATCGGCATTCGTTTATCTAGAGTCCAATTCAAGTTATGCACAAACGAAACTTCCTCCATGTACATTTCTTTTAGGAGTTAAATTTGGTATTTCTTTTCCGATTTTCTTCTCCTCCATGCAGGATCTCAAAACAGTCCGGACTCTCAGTGGTTAGGAAATAGTGCTCAAAAAGCGATTGTGAACTGTGATGAGTCGTGCACGGAATCAGGGAGGTTAGTTATCCTAGTCTACGCCACAAATAGGTTATACAATAACCATGTAATCAATACCCTGCAGCCCAACATGTTAAAACATTCTTGAAACTATTTCCGAACATATGCGAATTTCCCATATAGGGAATAAGCTATTACCGTAGTACTCATGGTAAAACCTGGACCCGGGGCCGATTTAATTATTTTGCTGTGAAGTCCCTAGAGGCCGCAAAACACCATCCGTTGAAATTCATCGCGCAAATCGCGTGTATATATATATGTGTGTCTGTTAGCGCGATAACTCGAGCAAAAATGGTCCGATTTTTATGAAATTTAGTACAATATTTCTATGTAAAAAACGTTATAAACTAAAGAAAACAGTGAGTGTAAATGCACGTGTTAACAATGGCAGTGTCTGGCGGTAGCTTCCGATGCAACGTCACATGGTGGCGGGGTTGGAAGGGCAGCATCAGGCGGCACGCGTTCACTTCAAAGGAGTGGGCTAACCCAAGGCCACACTATAGTGTACGCACCCGCGCACCACCGTCACCGCGGACCAGGTGAAGAATACTATTCCTAATTCGATTATTTTTTTACATTTAGTTTTGCATTGCAGTTGTTTTTTTATTATTTCAATTTAAAAATTGACAAACAACTTATTTTATTAACACTCTAAGCATTGCCTTACAATATTATATTACAAAACCGTACACCTACTTTAAACCGAACCTGCTTGAGGCTGTTTAATTGCGCGGACTGCAGGAGGGACTTGATGAAGCCACTATGGACTTCTGACACTAGCGGAGTTCAGTTTTGATGCCGTTTTAAAGAAAAGCATCCATGTTTTTATGCTCAAAAACACGGTACTGTTAAGGATGCGCTCTGCCTCAGCTCAGAAATCTCAACTCGGGCCAGTAGATATGTTGCGCCATTGAACAGCGCCACGAGAAGCGCTTGTAGACGTTTTAAGTCCTCTTAAATAACTCACTTAGCTTTTGAAATATTTTTCATCTGAAGATTGTTCCTTACTCCTTAGATTAAAATTTATGACTCTAGCTTTTTTGATTTTCTTCAAAAAATGTATTTGTATGTGTAAGATGCGTTAGAAAAACGCTTATATAGAAGTATTTATTTACCAGTTATTTCGCACTAAAAATTCTACTACAGTAGTAGCAAAAAATTAAAAAAGATCAAGCCTACAGATATAAGAAAGGAATACATTAACATAAATTTATTTTCAATTGGTTAAGTACCAAGCTGACATTAACGGAGAGCCAAAGCCATTGCATT